GTATCAGAGAGTACTATTTTTTATGCATTATTTGATCATTTCATTATTTTTTTTTTTCAAAATTATATTTTGTAGCAAAATTTTCGTGGCACCCTTTTCTCCATTTTTTTTCCTAAGCATATTCTTTTGCTGTTAATTTTGTAGAGAATTATTTACATAACATTTATACAATCCCCCCTTTTCATTTGTTGTAGTACATGTAGGTTCGAATCTCCCATGTTACAAGTATCTATATCAAAAACAAGATGTTCTCTTTTTTTGTTTGAACTTTTACCGGTTGTCTTTTTTATTCGTCGATTTATTTATTCATGTTTTTTTTTGTTTGTCAATAATCTCCCGACCCCCCCCCCCCCCCACACACACACATCAACGCTTCACCCTTCTCTGGTCTAATTGTGCATATCAATATGATTAACTATGGATTAAAATTTAAATAACCATTTTAAAATGAAGGAATTTTTAAAATAAAGCACTTATAAAGTACGCCTATATGTGCATTTATCTCTGTCTATCTCTCTCTCTCTCTCTCTGAAAAAAAATATTTACGTGCATGTAGAATACATTTTAATAATAAGTCTAATTCATATGAGTCAAATTTAAATAATTTAATTTTGTTTGTATTCTAGCCTCTGATTGGTTAATATCCAAAAAGGAACACAAATTATTTCTGTATAACCTGGTTTGGTATGGGGACACACCCCCCTGACAACCAGCTGAATCATCTGTATCCATACAATCCTCTCATTTCCAGTCCTCGGGATTCATGGAAAATTCCTGATTTAATAAATGTACCTTTAACTTCAAACAATAATTCGATCTTACCACATGTAAACGAACAACAAGGCTGCTAGGCCTATGCATCAGTTTTTACCTCCCCTCGATCGCTTCCCATCACTTCCGTTAATTACTTCCGTTACTATGGTTGTATTATTGAGCGGCAAATTTGAACTAATAAAAAGCAACGAAATTTTACACCCATAGTTATTTAATGATTTTAAAATTAAATTATAAGGAATGACTCTAATTCTTGGCCAAATTATTCGAGTATAACCTGGTTTGGGTCAGTTTACGCTGTTTTATAATCCGCTTCGCGGCAGTCATATATGTATAAAAGTATATACACTCCTGCGCAATGAACTAAATGCGGTAAAAGCATATCTTTGCCCCCCATAAAACAATTAAAAGGCAATTTTGAAAATCTCTAGAAATGTAAACATTTGTATATATTGTATATGAAAATCTTCAATTAACAAAAAATATTACAGTTTGGAAGTAGTTTCTTTTCAATGCTATTCTCTGTGAAGTAACAAACTATTGGAATTTTCCTTTATTTTCAAGATAAAGGACAAAATGGGCAATATTTGTTCAATTTTGAGTATAAAATTTACTGAGCGCAAGCTTGCTCCAAAACAATATTCACATATTCGATCGATATTTTAGTTCTACACATTATATCAGCAGACCTGCTGTCGATGACTTTTAGTAAAAATATCGACGTAAAATACACTTTTTTTCTCTCAAGATCATTAAAAAATTGAATTTACATCATCTTCTTGACGTCATATTTAAATATGACGTCACGGCTTATGAAAATAAGTCATGCTCTCAAGTCTGCCTACCCCCCCCCCCCTCGTTTAGAACATAATTTTAGATTTCTCCATCAAAGTTTGATGGGGGGGGATATCAGTCATAACCGAATATAGTCCTTTGCTTCTGTGTGCAAAAGTAAATATAATATATACGTGTCTATTGTGAATTTTACTGTGAATAGATAGTGTATTCTACAATTCTATTATTTTTTTGTCATGATTTCTATAAAAATGGCCTCATGCTGGAGAAAGAGAATTCTTCCTTACTATCTATGTATACAGCATTGGGATTACAGTGAAGATGCTTCTTTGTGCGTACAATAAAAAAAGAAAACCACAACCACGTTTCTAGTTGGAGATGATGTTCTTATAAAATTAAATGATACTGTTTTAGACTAAGAAAGATACTTATCTTTTCATCTATAGAAAGCTTCTCCATCAAGAAACACCACATATTGATGAACCATTTAGGACACAATATTTGCTTTTGCATATGATTAAACACATATTTGCACCTGCCCCTGACCGCGAAGCGGTTTATAAAAAAGCTTAAACTGTTCCAACCCAGGTTATACCACTATAACCATGACAAATTGGGTAGCTTACTGCTATTACATGTTTTCTTTATAATTTAATTTTCCATCATATAGTGTAGAAAATAAGACAATTTCTCCTTCAAAAATGCCTTCAAATTGAACATATTTTAAAAGTAATGTCGAGTGGATTGATACGTTTTTGACGTAAGTCATTGTGACGTAGGCAACACAGGTTATACGATATAAACTAATTTGTTATCCAGTCAAATGAGTTACAACCAAAATTTAATTATTTATGAGTAAAGCTCGACATATAAAAAGTCAGGGTAATAGAGTTATACTTTCAAGTTGTTTGTACATGTATATGACACTACATAAAATATATATATATTACGTAGTGTCATATTTATCTATTAACAGCTAACTCTGTTCATATCATCCTTTGCATTCGAACTTTACACATTTGTCACTCCAGTCTTGGTTAAATAAATCTATTCTTTTCTAAAATGAGTGTCTTTAATATTGCCCTCACTGAAAGCTTATAAAATGTAAGCAGCATGCGAAACACACCTTAGTGAAAGGAGGTTGAACGAAAGTTCCTACATGTATATGTCAATTCATTTCGGAGAAACACGGAAGTAACAGCAACTTTCATATATTAATTCGACACAGTATATATATATATATATATATATATATATATATATATATATATATATATATATATATATATATATATATATATATATATATATATATATATATATATATATATATACAGTGGCGCCTCGTTTATCCGGACGCCTCTGTTCCCAACGAAATCGTCCGGATAAATGAATCGTCCGGATAATTGAATCACATATCAAAAAGCACTCTCTATATAAGCATGTATATATGCACATTCTTGTTTCAAATGTGACAGCAAAGAAAAAAACTTTTAAATTATATTTTGGTTAATTGTTTTAAAAGCAGTAATTGATTAATGAAAAAATATATTAAAATGTAATTTACGCAATAAATTAAAAAAAATGGATGGCCAATTTTATGCCGAGACCTCCTTTTTTAATTCACATTCTCTTTGACATGTGACTTCATGGGTTGAGCAAATTTTGATCTACTGTTGTTTTATTTTGCCATATATTATAATTATTGAAGCTTACATGATATGACAGAACTGTTCAGCATCATCATTGAAAATGTTCAAATATAAACTAACCCTGTATATTCATTACACATGGTTACTATAAAATTAACTGAACACTGCAAACTAATCAAACAAAGTATTAAAAACATTCGTAAACACAAGCCATCTTCATGATTATCAATATTATTTTTTTCTACAGACGCTAAGTTTGAATTTCGATCATTAAAAAATACCTTGAAAAACGTAATCAACTTCTGTACGTAACGCCAGTTTGATATGTAATGGACGTTTGTAAACGGTAGTACATTAGATAGAGATATTTCTTCTATTATGTACCTTTCTATACTGTCTTGTGGGAAAAAAGCGTTTCAAATACATTTACGTATTTTAGAAATGGAACATCGTATTTTAAACTAACGCAATCGACACGATAAAGAGCATTACGAAATCGCTCGTTATTTATTGTTCATTCTATTTACAACTCTCGAAAATTCTCCTTAATTTGGCGATGTATATACGGTTAGCAATATGATTTTGAACGGATTACTATTTAATTAATGCACAGTGTCAGTTAAATTCTTTGAGCTTCATAATAAAGATAAACGTGTGATTTAATTGGGGTAAACACACGCTAATTATAGACGCTATTGTTTGTAGGTCACAGGTAACCGCCTTCAAACTGACTGCATGGCCAATGTTTTTACAACAATTTACACGAATGCAAGATAAGTGTGAAAATGTCGTTTCTTGAAAAATTACCGTCCGGATAAACGAGTCATTTTTCAATGAACTATTATGTTTTGTAGTAGAAATTGACCGTCCGGATACGGAACGCGAATTTCCGGATTAATGAGACAAAATAACGTGGAAAAAATCGGTTCCCAAAAAATATCGTCCGGATGGTGAAGCGTCCGGATAAATGGCGTCCGGATAAACGCGGCGCCACTGTATATATATACAATATATATATATATAGATATATATATATATATAAGGAAATAAATAATAAATATCGGATTAACCGGTATTTTAGTGGAGTTGTATAAAATTCGGGAAGAGGGATATCCCCACGAAACGGCGATTGTACATATACAATGTACCACATGATGGTGTACAACTGAAAAGAAAATAAAAACTGTGCAATTAAAAATTGTCAAAAATTTTGTTATATAATAAAGCAGTTTAAAAAAACATTGGTCTATCGTAAAACCGATGAATGGACAGCAATAGACATAACATTTTGCAAATAGAATTCAATATAAACAATTTTCCTAGTAGCTCCGCCGTAATTTTTACACTAGGCTCAATGATTTTAGACCAAAAAGTCCTCTGTTGACACGATTTTATCTTAACAATTGCAGATATCTAGTAGGTCACATTATAACCATTGCAGATATCTATTTGGTCGTACTATAATATTTTACTTTATAACAAAATTTTATTACAGTGTTTGTGTTTTCTTCAGTTAATTTAAATATCATAGGTGCAAGTTGAATGGAACATACCTCCCGCACCCAAATATACACCGGCCGAATAGACTTTCAGCGGAAAAAAAATCCAAGGGTACCGGTCGATGTGTATGTTCGGGGAAGAGGGGGGGGGGGGGGGTGACAAGCTCTCATTGTCACTATGCCATTTTAGTATTTTAAAAAATATGACGTGTCTTAAATGTTATTTCTAAAACTATTCCAGACTTTCCAAATTACCCGCTTATAAATACTCATTCTGTAGATACCAATATTCCTCTAAGAATGTAACACTGGAGGAACAAAGCAGGCGATGACGGCTGATATGGTGCACTAGAATGGGAAAATATTTTGTACAGTTCTTCATTATTCACCTGTTAAAGGTAATTAAAAAAAAAGACTTTTTTAATTTTATAGAGAAGAGGTTTAACATTTTTACACAAAAAAGGACTAAAAGGACAAAAAAGTTTATTTCAAAGAATATGCTATGTACAATTAATCTTTTTTTTTTTTTTTTACACAGATTACTTCGGTGGAGACATTTACTAAACCTTGCAATGCATCCCTGCAGACAGTATCGACTGTGGCAGAGTGCCCTACAAATGATACTTCATATAAAATAGCCGCCCAACAAAAGAACTGTTCATCATTACCGATGGACAGAAGCAGTTGCGATTCTTTCGAATACCACTGTGTTTTGAGCGAAGATCTCAAAACTGCCATTGAAGTATGTGCACCATCCTTAAACATTATAGGTATGTTGTGAAAATTTACTCTCTTTAAAATTATTTCTTGAACACAAAAACCTTTAACTTGCTATTTTGAAAATTCAAATTTCCACCTACTCAAAGTATAAAATAGAAAATATGAAATAGACAAAGTCTATATCAATGATCACAAATAATGAACATACGAATGTCTCTTTCTTACTTCTTAAAAAAAAAGGAAGATTCTGAAAATAACAAAATTTAGAATCTAGGATCTGCTCATCGTCGAAAGCCATGGGTTTTGTTTCTATTCTATTTCCACAAACCGGGTTTTTGTGGAAATACAGAATAAACACAAAATCCTTGACTTGCAACGATGGGATCTTATTGGACAAATGACCATTACGTTAGCTACTGCACCAGCAACTTTATCTATATGTAATATCAAAACAACAAAGAATGCTATATCATATACAGTTACTGAGAAATGTTCACGGACAATAAATCTGAAATTAGTAGAGTTAAGAAAAGATCTCATTTAACACAAAAGTATTGTCCTCATGCGAGTTCCATTTGTTTGTTTGTTGAGAAGTGTTTGTGTCCTTTCAAGATCTAATTTTGATGAAAATGAAATCTTTGCTTGATTTCGTGTAATGTACTGTAGAGTACAATGTATACGGATGTTCTTTGTCCTCGTCAAAAAATTCTGCGATTTCTTAAGAAAGTCGTTTTCTTATATAATCTTAACTTAAATTGCATGGATAAAAAGATATGCAGATTACAGATCGTGGCATTTTAAGACTCCAATGCAATTTTTTATGCAACAGTAAAGATTTATCAAATTATCTCCCAATCATTCAAGGGCACTCTTGTGCTATGTTCAGCAAGACTTTGACGGGCATCATGAGGGTAGACAACATAACCTGTGGGAACGCTACAAAAGGATGTCCATTTTCCTACAACTCCACCACTTCGTTTAAGTGTATGTTTTTATTTTACTTTTATTTTTTGTATTATCACTCTGTTAAGGAGGCTGGGGGGTCAACAAATTACCCATCAGATATAACTTGATTTTTTAGATATGATATCTTAAGCTGTCAACTATCATTTGGCAAACAAAAATTTCATACATTTTAGTTTTAAAATTTGATCATTTTTGTATATCTTTATACATGTTATATGGAGCTCTTCTTCTAAAGGAGATCAATAAAGTCTCAAAATGGCCACAACCACCCAGCCCTCTTAATAATCTCATTGATGATTCTCTCTTGAAATTGAAAAGTAAAGGTAAATGCTTATTTTAGTATTTCAAAAAGGATAACTGATAAACTGGTCTGTTTTTATTTATGTCTTTTTGTATAACATCTTAAAGATATTGCACTGTTTTGTCTGAGCAGATCATCACTGCTTCCCGACAGGAAATCAGTTTTATACTACAGAAGCCATCCAAAGGTAAAATCTTTGATGCATACATTAGTGGTATGACTAACCATAACATATTTAGGAAAAATGAATCAAATACAGAATTAATTCCTGATTGTTATTATGTCTAGCAGATCAATTAAAAACTCAATGTAAAATAAAGAAATAGAGTTCAAACGCCCCTGTCATACCAGGCTGCTTTCCTAAGGCATTGTGTTAAATTCTTAGGTCACCTGAGTCACTCAGGTGACCTATTGCTATCCGTTTTTGTCCGTCGGCATGCGTCGTGCGATGTGCGTTAACATTTGAACATTTTTAGCTTCTTCTCTGAAACCGCTCAACCAATTTCAACCAAATTTGGCATATAACATCTATGGGTGAAGGGGAACAAAAATTGTGAATTTCGTGGTCCCTGCCCCCCTGGAGCCTGAGGGGTGGGTCTAAAACCACCAAAATTAATCAATCTTTAAAAATCTTCTTCTTTACTCCTGGACATCAAGCAGTCAAACTGTTGGCATCATTGTAATGAGCATTGAGTCCTCTACCAAAATTGTGAAATTCATGGCCCCAGGGTCGGGGGTTCTGGTGCTAGGGCGGGGCTATATAGATCATATAGTGAAAGTGCATTGTTTCTTTGAAAATCTTCTTTTCTGCTCCAGGGTATTGAATAAACTAACTAAGAATATAGTTATGATGAGTAAGAGTGCCTCTTCCAAAATTGTGAAATTCATGGCCCCAGGGTCAGGGATTCTGGTGTTAGGGTGGGGCTCTATTGATTATATAGTGAAAATGCATTAATTCTTTGAAAATTTTCTTCTCTGCTCCTGGGCATTAAATAAACTAAAAAAGTGTATAGTTATGATGAGTAAGAGTGCCTCTTCCAAAATTGTGAAATTCATGGCCCCAGGGGCAGGGGTTCTGGTGTTAGGGCGGGGCTCTATAAATTATTTAGTGAAAAAGCATTAATTCTTTGAAAATCTTCTTCTCTGCTCCTTGGTATTAAACTCAGTAACTAAGTACATAGTTATGATGAGCAAGAGTGCCTCTTCCAAAATTGTGAATTTCATGGCCCCAGGGGCAGGGGTTCTGGTGTTAGGGCGGGGCTCTATTGATTATATAGTGAAAATGCATTAATTCATTGAAAATCTTCTTTTCTGCTCCTGGGTATTTAATAAACTAAGTACATAGTTATGATGAGTAGGAGTGCCTCTTCCAAAATTGTGAAATTCATGGCCCCAGGGTCAGGGATTCTGGTGTTAGGGTGAGGCTCTATTGATTATATAGTGAAAATGCATTAATTCTTTGAAAATCTTCTTCTCTGCTCCTTCGTATTAAATAAACTAACTAAGTATATAGTTATGATGAGTAAGAGTGCCTCTTCCAAAATTGTGAAATTCATAGCCCCAGGGGCAGGGATCTGTTGTTAGGGCGGGGCTCTATAAATTATATAGTGAAAAAGCATTAATTCTTTGAAAATCTTCTTCTCTGCTCCTTGGTATTAAATTCAGTAACTAAGTACATAGTTATGATGAGCAAGAGTGCCTCTTCCAAAATTGTGAATTTCATGGCCCCAGGGGCAGGGGTTCTGGTGTTAGGGCGGGGCTCTATTGATTATATAGTGAAAATGCATTAATTCATTGAAAATCTTCTTCTCTGCTCCTGGGTATTAGATAAACTTACTAAGTACATAGTTATGATGAGCAAGAGTGCCTCTTCCAAAATTATGAATGTCATGGCCCCTGGGTCAGGTGTTCTGGTGTTAGGGTGAGGCTCTATTGATTATATAGTGAAAATGCATTAATTCTATGAAAATCTTCTTCTCTACTCCTGGGTATTATTGAAACACATTAAATACATAGTTATGATAATCAAGGATGCCTCTTCCAAAATTGTGAAATTCGTGGCCCCTGGATCAGGGGTTCTGGTGTAAGGGCGGGGCTCTATTGATAATAAAGTGAAAATGTTTTAATTCTTTAAAAATCTTTTTCTCTGCACCTGGGTATTATTTAATCAAACTAAGTACATTGTTATGATAAGCAAGGATGCCTCTTCCAAAATTGTGAAATTCATGGCCCTGGGGACAGGAGTTCTGGTGCTTGGGCGGGGCTAAATAGATAATATAGTGAAGGTGAATTATTCCGTTGAAAATCTTCTTCTCTGCCCCCGGGCATTGTTTAAACAGACTAGGTACATTTTTATGGTACGCAAGGTTTCCTCTTCCAAATTGTTAATTTTATGACCCCAGGTTTAAGGGTTCTGGTTGGGGGGGGGGGGGGGGGCTTCTATTGATTATAAAGTGAAAAAGCAGAATTTCTTTGAAAATATTCTTTTCTACTTTTGGTTAAAAAAGCAAAGAAGCTAAGTGTATAGTTATGATGAGCAGGAGTGCTTCTTTCAGTGTAGTGAATTTCATGACCCCTGGGTCAGATGTGCTGGTGTGAGGGTGGGGCTCTTGATAATATAGCGAAAAAGCGAAAATGCATTAATTCTATTAAATAATCCTGTTTGCTCCTTAGTGTTAGGCAGATAAACAAAGTGATTAGTTATGATGAGCAAACTTATGGTCCCAGGGTCAGAAGCTCTTGTTTTTTTTTTTTTTTTTGGGGGGGGGGGGGGCTCTATTGATAATATAGTGAATCTGTAGTAAAAATGCATTATTTCTTTAAAATTCTTCTCTACACCTGGGCATATCTGAGGCAAATAGAGTAAAAATTTTTATAAGGGAGGGAATTTTTACCAGATTTTTGAACATCTTGACCATTTGGTCAAGTGTTCTGGTCCTTGCCAGGGCTCTATTAGTTTGTATTCTACTGACAGGAGTTATTCCCCTTTGCCATTTACTTTTGATAATTTATCCCTGTAAATAATGTACTTGAAAGGTAAATAGAATAAGAGAATTATGCAAAAACTTTTATTGTATAATACAAAAAGTACTTTCATTGCTTTAATGATCAGATAGACTTGTAAGTAGTAGATAAATAAAAATGAGACAAAAATAACTTGTCTTATTAAATGTTCATCAAAGACCAAGAGATGCCAATGTAAGAGATTTCAACAAGGGATTAAAATAGTACAGAAGCATTGATAATTTGTTGATACACTGTATGATGATAGTGATAAATGGGGAACAGATTAGAACCTAATTTATGAACTGTTAATGAATATTAAGACCAATTATTTTGTTGATCATGATCACCCTATTTTTTTTCTTTTGGGCAACAAAGCTTCACCTTTCAGTTCATTTTATACTCTATGCATAATGCAAATTATTGTATCATACTCAGGTGACCATTAAGGCCCTTGGGCCTCTTGTTGGGATCGCCGTGGGATATCAGTATCCTTCTGCGTTTTCTTAATGACGGTTGACTGCGCTTCCCCTGGGTGTTCATGACGCGTTACAGTGTACGAATTGACAAGTCGCGTGCACAATGCGCTAACTGCATGTACAAAACTTTTTTTTAAAAACATGAATTGACATTCCTATATATATTATTATCCTATTGACGCTATTGTGTATCTTGTTTAAATGCACATTTTGTACGAAAATCATAAATACTAATGACGTTTTACCTTTTGTGTTTGACAGACATTGTACAGGTGTAGTTTAAAATAAAATGTATATTTAAATTCAATGACTTGAGCTATTTCAACAAGTTTGTGAAATGCATGTATAAACATTGTTCCTGTGAATTTACATAACTAGATCAACCACGTAAAGTTATATTTCATTTGAAATATCGTTACATTTTAATTTTTCAGGAAGTCATACGTTATTATAATAGTGATTGTGATTCTTGCAATCGGGGTCATATGTGTTATTCTACTTTTCTTAATATGGCGTTCCAAAAGACGAAGAAGAGAAGGTTAGTTGAAAAAATTTCTAGATGATGTTTATTATGACTCCAAATAAAATCTAATGTGATATCTGTCTAATTTTATAGAGCATAATATCATATTCAACAACTTATCCTTCATATAATTCAGTGTTGCTATTTCTGTTAAATTATATTTCTTAATTTTAAGCTTAAACATTCAAGAGAATTTTTAAACAAACCGTTTATTTCTTCTTTAGTATGCAGCAGATATATCCGTTTAACGTTCTTAGAAATATAAGTGAGGGTAACTTTAATTGCAGAAGTTCAGGGTAGAGAGGAAGTGGAAATGGACCCTATAGGTTGTGCAATTTTTTCAAAGCCCTAATCTAAGATTTATAATCTTTTTGCTTAAAATGTTATTCTATTTTTTATATGATTTTTTGCTTCTAGGGTTTTGTTTGTTTGTGTGGTTTTAAAAATGCATAAATATACGTTATAAATTCATTGCAGTCCTTGAAAACAACGAAGTTAATCAATATTTGCAGCAACTAATTATAAGAGACGAAAATGAATCTAATAATAGTGGTAGGTACATGTAGTATTGTTAAAATTTTTTTTAAAAAGCATTTAAATTAAATAATATTTTAATCACAGGCCAACGTTTGAAACGTTTTTGCTCGCATGATAATTTGCATAAAATCCTTTACTTGATCCTTGATTTAATAAGAAATATTTATATTCAATAATGAGAATTACTAAGCATCACGTAGTGAAAAAGCTTGTAGTTCTGTCACATGCTGAGCAAATTGCTTTAAGAAGATATAAAGCTATTGCCTTATTTGTCATGTTTGTAGTTTTGTCTTGGACAAAGACATTTGAGAATGTAATTATTAGAAAATAAAGAAATATGGTAATAACTTGATCAATGCAGTAGATTTGAATTATTGCACTATCTTTTCCACTTGTAAATTGCGTATAATCATTCAAAGATTAAACGATAAGCAAAATCAGATTTAAAGATTTTGTGAATTGGGCATTTTTTGAAACAGATATTCCACCTGCAGACGTTGACAATCCAGATCAACCACTGTTGAATGATCAGGCAGAAAACGGTAACTTTACCAAAGTATATTTTCTCATGCTCTATTTTTTTCAATCTTTCATTTAAAAGTGACGTTTATTTGGTTTTGAAAATGACAACTTAATTGGTTGATCGTTTGTGTTTAATACGAAAGCGTATTAGTGGCACGTAGTATTTTTTCTCCTTAAAATTTCAACCTTACAGTTGATGTTTCAAACTTTGAAAGTGGTAATTCCAGCTTTAATCAGTCTTCGTTTTCCTTACTTTAAAGCTGGCTTTTTAAACGTCCAATGGCCGTGAGAGATCTCTATCCTCCAAACACCTCATTTGATGCAGGACCTATTAATATTATTGATTATTGTAATTTTTGATAGCTTTTAAACGTAGAAAGTGAAACATTGCAATGATCTTAGGGAAGGCTTTATAATCGATAATACCATACAGGACCCATACTTACATTTTGAGAACAGTCCAGTTTTAAATTGTGTCCATATCAGATGATTCAATCCTATTTATTTTAGGATTAAAGTACTTATCAAACTTGTTTTTGACAGGGGCAGAACGGGTTGTGGAAGAAATACCAGAGAATCGGGTTGACGTAAATTCAGAAAGAAGAAATGGTAATGGCTCTAAGCTATTTCAATAAAAAAATTAACGAGTATCAATATTGATATTTAATTTTGGAATTAGATTGCAATTATGACAGAGATGAAATAATTATACATAATCTACAATTTTTTCATATAAAAAATGTTCTTTGAAACTAAAAGCCTTTTCTGCTGAAATTACGTTTTAGCGTTTCTACATGTAGCATTATGAAGAATATATAGCACCGACTACTTAGGTTATTGTGATCTGAATTTAATTGTCCAATCTGACGTTGAATGAATAGCTATGTTGACTCACTACATGTCTACACTTTATTTTTAACATGTGGTTCAGGCCCATCTACAATGCAATGTAAAATTAACTGCGAAAAAAAATTAAAAATCTATCTTTTTTTAATTAAAAAAAAATACAAAGATAAGAAACAAGGAAAGATGGCCCAGTCATGCTCTCAAACAGAAAGGAAGTGGTTTGTCACCTCATAAATTGATATTGGTGCGTTTGTAAGTTATACAATGTACATAATCAAAAGTAGAGCTGTGCCACATGTAAGGAGAACATGCAGCATCTTTTAACTTTTTCACATGAACACGTGTGTCTTTTGTCTTTCACAGGGAAATCCACTTGATATCTGTATTCACCGATAGTACAAAATAGGAATACAGACGCAAATCGCCTTACAGAATGGATTTGAGAAACCTAAAATTATACGTACTTTATTTTTAACAATTCTTTATAAATGTTAGAATGGAAATAATAGATAATAATGGACATACTGTTTTTCATCGATGAAATGTATGAAACAATTGTCATAAATTATTGTGATTTGTCGATTGCAAGTACTTTAGATCACTTAATTTCGCGACACCTTCTTTCAAACGGTAGTCATTAACTCTTAATTAGAGAAATAAAATTTTCACGAATTGTGGTTATTGCACTATATAATCATAAGGAATACTAATATACGCGAGAATGAAATTTTTGCGAACAAACAGTAGCGCGAATTTTGCGAAAATAAAGTTCTCGCTAATTAAACGCTGATTTACAGTAAATTTGGTATTTTAAAGCGTGAAACTCCAGGAGTATTAGTAGTACATGTAACCGATAAGGCAGTTCAACTCATTCAGCTGATTTGTTGGTTTTAGGACACTTTGGTGCCTCATCTAGCTTGTAAATTTAGGCAGATGCCAGAAAATATAGTTCCTTTGCAAGCATGTTTGTCCAAAAAAAAATTTTAATACACAACTGCATAAAATAATGTCAAAAAGAATACTTACCGAAGAAACTGGAATGAATTATACAGAAATTAAAGTACATTTCTACGAATATTATACAGTGGTGAAATCTGAAAGGTACTATAACTCTCTGTTTACCTTGTCTCACGTGCAAGTAAATTCCTGGGAACACTTCCGTGAATGATGTACCTTTTCCATTAACAGTCTCGCTGTAGCCTCACCAACTCTTGACAGGGCTACTGCGAACTCCTCGTGTATTATAATTTGCAGAACACCGAATAAAAAAAATTCCAAACGCATCAGTAAAGGTATTTTATCAAGAAGTTTTCTTCCATCTGTAAAAACCGTTCACGGTACCTCAGTCGGTAGAGCGCTGGCTCCGTGATAGGAAGGTCGTGAGTTCGAATCTCGGCCGCGACTGACCTAAGTCGATAAAAATAGGTAGCAACTGTTCCTTCGCCATGTGCTCGGCGCTTTGAAGTGAAAGTTGCGGGTCCTTCGGATGAGACCTTAAAAATCGAGGCCCCATGTCACGGCAGGCGTTGGCACGATAAAGATCCCTCACTGCTCAATGGCCCTGAGTGCCGAGTAAAGGTCAAAATTTGAAGCATTTCACCGGTATATGTGACGTCTCTATATGAGTGAAAAATTCTCTAATGGGACGTAAAACAACACACAGTTAATCAATCAATCTTTAAAAACTACGTGATTGGAAACAGAGAAAATGACAAAATTCGAGTTTCATATATATTCATATCAGTATTGCAGTGCTATTCTTGGAATTGTCAATCTCAAAATTATATACTCCTTCTATTCCATCTATGCTAGATTATTGATCAAATGTTATAGATGCGTGGCAAAACCATAGGTGAAAATATGAATTTTTGAAAAAAAAAAGCTTTTAAATCAGTGTTTCAGCAAAGTTGTAGCATATTAAACGAAAGTTACTTGTCCATGAGATTTTTTTTCTACTTTTAGAATTTGCAAGTTTCCGACATTTGTTTCAGTTGGTGACCTACAGGCCAGGGCAAAAATAGAAGTTAATACACTGGAAAAGGACGAGGGAAATAGAGCAATGTTGAACTGTTCAATGAATTTGCTTGTAAACCTCCTAAAGAAACCAGACAGCACTTGGACTAAGGAAAAAATCATACAGGAAGTCCAAAACATGATACAAAAGCTCGAAGATTCAAAAGAAACTGACCTTCTTGTAAAGTTTATTAAAACAATAGATCAAGATAGAAATATTCAAACAAAATTAATAAAATGTGGGGAGGAAATGTTTGAATTGATTTCCTCGGTCCAAGAAAGATATAAAGCAACAAGGGTTGAAATCAATGATGGATGTGTATGTTTCATGTTTTATTTTTCTGACGACCTGAGTTTGAAGAAACTTTCGAAGGAATTCTATAGGGGAGACAAAATTTTTAGGAATTGCATTTCTAAAATTTTACTAAACCAAGCTTTCCTAGGTATCTTTCAAATACATCCAGAGACTGTCACATGGAAGACATGTGAACTCAAAGTTTACAAAGGTTTGTGCATTTTACATATTCCTCTATTTAAGCTTACAAAAAAAGTTTTAGAACTTATGAAAAAGAAGAAATCTGTACATGTAACGTACAAATGACAATCAAGCAAAGATTGAAGAAATTCTACTATGTCCAATAGGTGTTCAAGCTTAAAATTATACATGGAGAAATAATTAAATGTAAAGATGTTATTCTGTAAGAAGGAATCTGAATGAATATTTAGTCTGATAAGTTTTTTTTTTCTGATATATTTTCTTGTTTAATACTATGATTCAAATTCTTTTTCCAATTAAATAGCCAGTTGTATTTTAATTAATGGATTTTCAATATAATAATTATTATGACAGGAGCTGAAAAAGTAGAAGATGTAAAACCTGAAAGCCCTATTATTGGAACTTTTAAAGATATTTTGGAAGAAGACCAAGGTGAATATATACTTTTATACTCTTTTGATATGTTGGAAGAAGACAAAGGTGAATATATACTTTTATACTCTTATGATATGTTGGAAGAAGACAAAGGTGAATATGTACTTTTATACTCTTATGATATGTTGGAAGAAGACAAAGGTGAATATATACTTTTATACTCTCATGATATGTTGGAAGAAGACAAAGGTGAATATATACTTTTATACTCTCATGATATGTTGGAAGAAGACAAAGGTGAATATATACTTTTATACTCTCATGATATGTTGGAAGAAGACAAAGGTGAATATGTACTTTTATACTCTTTTGATATGTTGGAAGAAGACAAAGGTGAATATATACTTTTATACTCTTTTGATATGTTGGAAGAAGACAAAGGTGAATATGTACTTTTCATTTCAAATTTTTGCAAATTGTTTGGTTATTAAAATGATAATTATAATGACAGGAGCTGAAAAAGTAGAAGATGTAAAACCCGAAAGCCCTATTATTGGAACTTTTAAAGATATGTTGGAAGAAGACAAAGGTGAATATATACTTTTATACTCTTATGATATGTTGGAAGAAGACAAAGGTGAATATATACTTTTATACTCTCATGATATGTTGGAAGAAGACAAAGGTGAATATATACTTTTATACTCTCATGATATGTTGGAAGAAGACAAAGGTGAATATATACTTTTATACTCTTTTGATATGTTGGAAGAAGACAAAGGTGAATATGTACTTTTCATTTCAAATTTTTGCAAATTGTTTGGTTATTAAAATGATAATTATAATGACAGGAGCTGAAAAAGTAGAAGATGAAAAACTCGAAAGTCCTATTATTGGAACTTTTAAAGATATGTTGGAAGAAGACCAAGGTAAATTTATACTTTTCATTCGTCAGATTTTCGCATATTGTTTGGTCGTTGAAATTATCTTGTTTGTAAACACAGTCTATCATTGGGTCGTATTTTGCATGAGCTTTCATACCATTTGTTGGGTCATTGCTTTTATACTTAAGTTGACTAAGGAGTCTTCTATCTACTTGATCAATACATAAAGTTCACGGCTTATGTGACTTGTCAACAGGGTATACTTCCTCCTGCTAGGCACCTGATCCCACCTCTGGTGTTTCCAGAGGACCGTGTTTTTGTCCTGTTCACGATTTGTTTTGTTTATTGAATTTATGAGACTGATCACTGTTCATTATCTTTACCTTTTACATTAGATATAATAAATCGATTGATTGTATATTGTTTTACGTCCCATTTGAGAATTTTTCAGCTCACACCGGTGAGGGGCTTCAAATTTAGACGTATACTCGACACTCAAGGCTGTTGAGCAGGGAGGGTTCTTTATCTTGCCAACGCCTACCCTGACACGCGACCTCGGTTGTGAAGGTCTCATCCGAAAACCCGTGACTTTCAGTCTAAGCCGGGTGCTTGGTGAATGAACAGTTACTACCTATGTTTGCGTCTTAGGTTTGACGCCTTAGGTTTGACGCGGCGTGGAGAACGTGAATCGAACCCGTGCCTCCCGATCACGAAGTTATCCTCTTACCACAGTACCGTCTCCAGTCTATTAGATATGAAAATTTCATATAATCAGATATAAATCTTTTTGAGTAATATTTATATTATTAGCATGAGTGCTTTTACCTTTGGTTTGATTATTATCTTAAATGAGTCGGATGCTCAAGTAGCCTTTTCTGGTGAAAGTGTTCCTTTTTCTCCTTGTGTGTCATTTTTAAACCTTTGACATTTGCATCTTTTCCAAAACTACAGGGCAAATTTGAAACCCCTTGAACCACAAAGCATTGTTGTAAAGATATATCATAATTGATCATGAAGAGTCTTGTTGTCTTTCAGTAGACGTTAATTAAGAAATTTGTCAATTGAAAGCATTCCCATCGATTGTTATGGCCGAAAGACAAACTTTATGAGAATGATTTAAATTTGAACAAATCATGACCCCCAGGGGTAGGGTGGGGGCACAATGGCGATCAAAGTTTTACACAGGAATATATAGGAACAAAAAATCCACTGGGCAATTAAAGTTGAAGCTAAGATGAATCCTTCATTAGATAGTGTAAAAGTACAGGAAAAAGAAACAATAGAACGTTTTGTTTTTTTTTTTTGACGTCAAAGTAAACGTGGATATGTTACTTTTATAAACAGAAAAGAAAGGCCATCAATCTATCTTTCCTCCTTCAGAATGTTATCATTTATATAATTTTCATATTTATATATATATAGTCAATATTGTCATACTTTTACATTAAAGGGGAAGATAAGAAAATGGAAAGTATTTTGGATGCCTTTACGGCCGGCTCAAATAAATATCCAGCTTACAAGCTTTTCAAAACTCGAGAAAAGTCTTTTGATGGCTGTAGTGGTGGTATGAAGAAGAGAACCGTCGAATTTGCAAGAGATGGATTTTTTTACAAAGGCAAGTGATTTTTTCTTTTGACACCAACTTCTCAGCTGACATAATGATTAAATATTAATTTCAGGATTTCAGAAAGTTACAGATAAACTCTGCTGGAAGATGGAAAACAAATTCTAAATATTTTTCCCTTTCTTTTAATAGGTTATGATCAAGCAACATCATGTTTTCATTGTGGTTGTATCAAAAAGGACTGGAAAGATTTAGACGATATTCACACAAATCATGTGCAGTTAAATAAAAAATGTGACTATGTTAATTATGTGCAATTAAATATTTTGAAGACTTGAATTTATGATCAGTTCTTGGTCAGTATTCTTCATGTGAAGGTATGCATAAAAAGCATAAAGGAATGTTTACACCCAGATTTTGACAGTGCTTCATTCAAGTTGGGAAGTGAGATTAATTCGTTTTCAGTACATTTTTTAGTTTGTTTTGTAGTACTCGAACAGAAAATGTGCCAAAGTCATTTAAAAATATTAAAACAGTCATAGAGGTACCTGTTAATGTTTGTTTTAAATACTTGCTTTGTCTTGCACATATATAATATTGTAGTTTGAGTATAATGATGAGGTCTGATTGTGCCAACATGAAAGATAGTTATTCTACTTGAAGCGGTCTGGGTCATTTCAATTTGTTGCTGCTGGACCACACTCTGAGGCATTCGGGTTTCTCAAAACCGTCTTTTTTAAAAACATCAGTTTGTATAGCTGTGATTTCCTCAGTACTTTTGACTGTTGGTTTATATGTTGCAATTCCTTAAGCTGTGAAAAGTCTTATATATTCAAGCTTCATCACACCAGTAAGCCAGACTCGCCTTCAAAATAAGAGAAATCCTTGATTTTATAATGTATGCAGATCAGGGAATTAAGATTAAAAATTACCTGGGTAAGGATTTTTTTACAGAATTTTATCAACTTTAGGTGCTGTAATGCACACATAAGCACAGAAAGATAAAATACATATAAATAGTAGGTTGTTAACTTTATGTCAAACATGAAACCTTATTTCAGGTCGTTAAATGATTACGGATCATTTTGCTAAAGGAGTAGGCATATGAGATGTTCATGCTTGCAATACTTTTAGTGGGCAGTTAAACTGTTCACAGTCTTACTTCGTATAGTTTACTAAACATTTCTGATTCTCTATAGAAGGTTCTTTCTTATACTGTTACAGCATTAAACCTGTACACAAAGAATTTTGATTTTGTACGTTTATATTTTTACTAGTATTATTTTATCATGTTTTTGTTTCTTTCATCAAAGCGACCGACCCAAGGTCCAAAATATTCAATTTTAAGAGTTACTGTTGTCTGTACATTTTTCAATATAATTACAAATTCGAATATTTGTAGGTTTATTTGTTACCTTTGATATTTAAAATGGTCTATTTATATTAGACATTCAAATTTAAAAAAAAATGGGTTTAAATTTTATTGATATATATCAAATGTTGTCAGAGTTAAGTTTGTTTACGTTGAAATGTGAAATTATGTTTTCTCATGTACAGTTATCCTTTAAGTTGAATGTTAGATGGAATTTGATATCAGCAAACTAAAAATATTAGAGTGATATCTCCCTAAAAGGAGAGAAATGAAACCCTCAGAATTGCCTTTGAAATTATTTTGAAGCATTCAGACAGTAAATTGTTAATGAACCAGTTATGGTAAAAAAATTAAAGCGAGCGACAGGTATGGTTAGTTTTACTTCTTTTACTTGTCATGTGCTTTTTATGTGATGTACTTGTAATTTACAGAATATATTAATTGCTTTGAATCAATAAAATACAGCCTTACAGCCACGTAAGGTCTATGTTGAATTATTGTTTTGGACAGAACAGTTAGGTCATACCTTATTATTGGGAAGTAGATATGTTGAAATTGAACTGGCATAAATGCAAAGAAAAATTGATTAATGTTCGTTATATTCTTCACTGTTTAAAGAGAAATATTGCATTAAACCACTGGGTATCATGAGATTCTAAACGTATGACCTCTTTCGTCCTGGAACCGATCTAAATTAATGTAATGAAATTAATTTTATATTTAGTGGATGACCTCATCCTCTTTTTTTTTCATGCATTTAGTTTTCCTTCAAGGTGTTCCTGAGTAGAAAGGAATGTGTTTGTCGAATTGCGTACATTTCACTAGAAGGACAGTTTGCCTCTCTTTGAGGCCAGAACCTCTACCCGAGGACCAAGAATATCACTATTTTGGTGGAAGGCTTAATGATTTCTTTAACCATGTCCTCAGTTTATATTCAAGATTAGCAAGGTTACAAAAATGAAATATGGAGATAACGAACAGTATTCAAGCTCAGAAGTCCATTCAAACAATACAATTCAAGAGCAGAGCAAACACAGACCTCAAAAACATCAGAGATGGGATCAGGTGCCATGGAGGAGTACGCATCCCTTGCCAACCGATCACACCCTCCGTGTGCTCCTCGTCTTGGACGGAAAAAATCCGTAGACAATTCAGAGTGTAGAGAGTGGCATAACAATTAGTATGATGGATTGATTGTATGTTGTTTTATGTCCAGTTCAAGATTTTTTTTTATTCATATAGAGACGTCACTATATCCCGTTGAAGGGCTTCAAATTTAGACCTTTACTTGGCACTCAAGCAGTTAGGGTTCTTTATCGTGTCAATGTCTACCGTGACACAGGGTCTCAGTTTTTAAGGTATCCGAAAGACCCGCAACTTTCTAATCAAAGGGCCGTGCGCTTTGCGAAGGAACAGTTGCTACCTGTTTTTAACGACTTAGGTCAATCTCAGCCGCGATTCGAACACACGACCTTCCGATCACGGAGGGAACGGTCTACCGACTGAGCTATCGTGACGGTTATTTTCATGAAAATAAAAAAGTATAAATCTTTAAAAATCTTTTTAAAAAGGAACCACTTGATCAGAAGAGTTGAAGCTTACATGTATGAGAAATGTTCGTTTCTTAGTGTGGATTCAATTTTTTTCATATTCCCATCGACCCCTGGGCTAGGTTGGGGCGGCACTGAGGCATCAGTGTTTCACAGGACTATAAGAAACAGTCTTTAAATGTCTTTTATGATGAACAGCAAAGGCACGTAGACGATCTGAGTTTTACAAAGGAATATATAGGAATAGAATCTGTTGATAAAAAACAGCAGGACAAAAGTGACTCGGGTGTACAAAGAATTAAAGCTACAGTCTTATCTGAGACTTCTAGTTGTCTTATATCGTTAAAAGTATAAGAATATTTTCTTAACATTTTGACGTTTTGTTTTTTATGACGTCAAAATAAACTTGGACATGTTATATATGTAAAACATAGGAAAAAGATATATATATATATATATATATATATATATATATATATATATATATATATATCGTTCATAACCTATCAAAAAAAATAATTTTTATTTCTTCCAGCAGAGTTTATCTGTAACCTTCACCAATCCTTAAATTATTGGATTTGGTTATATATATAAACTCTGCTGGAAGAAATAAAAAAAATTTTTTTTATAGGTTATGAACGAGCAACATTATGTTTTCATCACGGTTGTTGAAATGAGCATCTGATGCATCAAAATTGGTACGGTATATGATTTACTTTGTTTCCAAAACGACTTCACTGATTCAGATGATAATCACACAAAGCACTTACAATATTAATTAAGTGAAAGTTTTGGCTTTGTTAATTTTGTGCAATCAAATATTTTTAAGACAAGAGTTCAACTTGTATGCATAAATAGCGTATAAGAATGTTTATACTTCCTGATTTCGATGTTACCTCATTCAAGTAGGAAAATGCCAAAGTCATTTTGAAAATAAATATAAAATAGCCATAGAGATTGGAAGGGTACATATAAATGTCAGGTTCAAGTATAATGCCCATATATAATATATAATATTGTAATTTGATTAATGAGGTCCTGCGTTAATGCTCTGACTTATTCGAATTTTTTTTTACACACTCTGAGACATTCCTGTTTCACATAACCGTCTTCTTTTAACACACCATGAAGCAGTTTATATATTGCAGTTCTAAAAGTTGGTAAAAGTAAGTTATTTAAATTTAATATTACCAGATAGCCAAACTTGCTTTCAAAATAAGAGAGATCCATGTTTTTACATGTATATCTTATGTCGATCAGGAGATAAAGTTAAAATTTATCTGGGCCAAAATTTATTACAGAAATGTCTCAATTTTAAGAGCTGTAACGCAAACATAAACATAACTAAATGTATATTTTACCTTGGCAATTGCATGTATAATTGAACCTTTTATCAGATCTTTGAATGTTTACGTATAATTCTGCTGAAGGAGTATGAGACATGTTCATGCATGCAATACTCTGAGTGGGCAGTTTAACTGTTTTACAGTCTTACTACTTACAGTTTTAATTTTATAGTTTACAATAAAATGTTCCTCATGAGTCTCTATTATAAACTTATCTATTGTACTGTAACAGCATTAAACCTGTACACACGGAATAAGTTTACCTTTATATATTTTTACCAGTATTATTTTGTCACATTTTAAATAACCGACTTGGGCTCCAGCATGTTTTTATACCCCCGCTCCTAAGGTACTGTTTTACCTTGTGTGTTTGTGTGTCTGTCTGTCTGTCCGTAACAAATTTTCGTCGCAGTTTTCTCAAGTGCTTAAAATTTTAGCTCACTTCGTTTTGAAATGCGATATGGTGGCATTCGTTTTTGTGCGAATTTTATGTCAACTTCCTGTTTATCCCTGCGGCTGTCCGTACCAGATTTCCGTTGCAGTTTTCTCAACAACTACTCAAGGCAGATGCATGAAAGTTTAGTACACTCTTTATTTAGTCATGCCATATGGTGGGATTCAATTTTGTACGAATCTGATGTCAACTTCCTGTTTATACATGCGTCTGTCAGTACAAAAGTTTTTACTGAACTTGTGTACATTCACATGAGAGGGTATATTCACATCAGAGCGGGGGTATTAGTAGTGAGCATTGGCTCACAGACCTCTCGTTTTTCGTTATTGTTGTCTGT